TTTGAAGAGATAAAGAACAAGAAAATGAAGAGATCAAAATAAATAAAAAAGTAAAGTGAGTAGAAGAATTTAAAGGAGGGGACATACAAATCTTTTGTGAACCAAACAAATGGAGAATGACAGAAACAAGGTGGGAAAGCAGGGAGGTTAAGTGGGTATGGAGATCTAACACAGAATAAATAATATTCTGTCATTCAAAGTCAAGTGGGAAGCTGGGCATAGTGGCGCACACCTGTAATCCCAGCAGCTCAGGAGGCTGAGGCAGGAGGATCACAAGTTCAAAGCCAGCCTCAGCAAAATTGAGGCACTAAGCAACTCAGTGAGACCCTGTGTCTAAATGAAATACAAAATAGGGCTGGGGATGTAGCTCAGTGTTCAGTGCCCCTGAAATCAATCCCTGGTACCAAGGAAAAAAAAGTTGGGTGGGGGATTCACAATTGTTATATTATTATGCTGCTGATGATGATTCATAACTTATGTATACATTATGTATGTTGTATATATCAAATATTAATACTTTTCAAGTGAGGTAGAGCTAGAGAGAAAGGATTGTTGTGTCAAATCACCAGACAGAAGGAAGATTCCTAAATTTATGTTCATTGGGAAAAACTTTTATCACATATTTCTGGTGTAGTTATTTCCACTGTTTACTGACAAATTGCAATCATCCTTGTGGAATAAATTCATTTTCAAATAAAGTATCAATCAAACTGTGAAAGAAGTGTGGCAATTTGCTTGCAATTTTCTTTATCTCAGAATTGAAGGCTTTTTTTCATAATCAATTCCTAAGTAGACTTCTTTGCTTCCAGGCTTAGGGTAAGATCCAGCTCTCAATTAAAGTACCTCAAATTAATTCAGCATATAACTATATCTTTGATTTCCTATTCTTTTCCTGACATAATAAATTTTGGGAGAGAAATTGCCTTACATCTTAGTTTGTTTACTAGCATTTCCTTTGTGTAGTTTTAACATTCTAATAAATTAAAATATGACAATATTTAACATCTAATTTTCAAATAACTTTGCTTAGAGTTTTCCAAAGGAATTAAGAGTGTGTTCAAAATGGAATGAGAGCTATATTGGTCCCAAAGGACAGATAGGAAGTACATAAATTGGACTGGAAGGGAGAAGGTCTCCGAGTAGGGAGAGGTGAAAAGACGTAAGAACTTCAGAGACAGATGCTGAGACTAGCAGTTCTGGATAAAAGTGAAGACAGAAACTTTGGAGTGGGCCTAGAGCCAATGTTTGGGGAGGGGAAAGAAAAGCACCGGAAAGGCAGTTACAGGAAAAGCCAGAAGAATTTTAAACAAGGAGAAGATTCACACTCAGGCAAAATGTGAAAATTTATGCCAATTAAGTGAAGGAAATTTTGATGCAGAGAGCTAACACAGGTCTGCTCTTCCTAGGTGCTGACCAATTCATAGTAGGGCTACCAGAGCCTGGCCATTAAAATGTGGCAATATTGGAAACATCAATAAAAATGCTAGTAGTGGTTATTTGTTGAAAGGTTTCTATGGATCAAGGCTGTGCTAGTGACATAGGTTAATTTCCTTCTTCCAATAATTCATGAGGTGGATGTTGTTATCTCTACTTTATAAATGAGGATGGTGAGGCAGGAACAAGTTAGGTAACTTGCCCAAATTCACAGAATTATTTAGTCCTCAGGGAAGGGAGCTGCCAGAGACTGCAGAGTTTTCTGTGTATATTCAGGGCACTTCCCACCATATTCTACCACTTTTACAAAATTGTCATTAAACTGTTGGCTCATATATCTCCCAAAGGAATTCAGAAAAAGCTTCTATTCCTTGGAACATTTGTAAGTTAGCATCTGTATTTTTCAAAGTTTATAATAGTTATAAATGCTATGATTTCTTATGAAGTTTAAATATAGACATTTTAAAATAAAATCATTTCATCACTTTTAATTTATCCAATTGAATTTACATCTTATAGTATTTTAATACCAATCATTATTCATTTTAAAAATGCACAAGCAATTTTTTAAGTTACTGTTTGACCTCTTCCCCTTTTCTCCTTAAATCATATTTTTATTCCACTTTCTCTTACATTTTTTATCCTACTATATTTATGTTTAAAATAATTCTAGCATACTTTGCTATAATAAAAACATAAAGCAAATTCAAAAATATTTTAAATGCTTTTTTTATTGAACTTTGTCATTTCAGGCTCTTTTAGTTAAAAAAAAATTCTTCAGACTTCAGTCATTTTTTCGAATATTATTTGCATAAAATTGATGAAAATAATATTGACAAGGGAATCTAAATGTTGACAATTATTACACATAAGGAAAATATATTTTTGGTTTTGTTTTGTTTTTGTTTTTTGGTGGGAGGTACCAGAGATTGAACTCGGGGGCACTCAACCACTGAGCTATATCCCCAGCCCTATTTTGTATTTCATTTAGAGACAGGGTCTCACTGAATTTCTTAGTGCCTCGCTTTTGTCTTTGAACTTGTAATCCTCCTATTTTACCCTCCTGAGCCATTGGGATTACATGAGTGTGCCACCAAGTCCAGCAGTAAATATAGTTTAATGAAATGGATTAAACTAAATATAGTTTAATGCTATGGATGTCACTTTTTGTTAAACTGGTTCAAAAATATATGAATAAATATTAGTTTTTGCTATCATGATTCAGAACATGGCAGAAAGAACGAAAGGTCTTTAGCCACTGTAGGGTGTGATTTACCAAATGTATACTAATCATTGTCATTAAGTCATACAAACAAATGAAAACAAAAGTGGTCAGAAGTGACAGTGGGCTGGACACTTGGGTCCATGTTAAGAAAAATATGGTAAAGAAATTGTTTTCCCTACCAGTAAGAAAAATCACTGAAGAAAATATAGAACATTCGTCTACATTATACATTTTAACTTTTATAAATTTCTAATTTAAACTAAATGATTTTTCTTATAATAGAACCTTAACACAAATTCATCTGAATCTAATGTGAAACATTTTAGCTTTTCTTCCATGAAAAATATATAACTGAGATACAATTAGCACCTTGGCTACATTAGACTTCCCAGACACTGATGTTTTTAAAACGTTCTCTGACACTATGATATCCTAGGGACAGGGATCTGAAGTGGGCCACTGTCTTGTGGTACTGGGCCCTCAAATTACTGGGCCTTTAAATTATAGTACTCAGATGGTATCTTCTGGAGAATTACTTGGTAAGTAAGGAAAAAAAATACATGTCAGAATGGTTATGTTGACTGGTATGTGAAAGAAGGATTAAACATTAATTATTTTCTGGTAAGAGGCCTCTGACACCCCTGAGCAGAAATAAGTCCTGAAAACTCTTCATGCCATTGAGCCTCTTAGAAAGTCTTCAGACGGCCCCATGACGGATACCCAAGTAAGAAGGCCATTCACATGTGATACCAAGTAGTTTTTAAAAGAAGAATGAGTTCATGCATTTGCCAGTAAATGGATGGACCTGGAGACTATCTTGCTAAGTGAAATAAACCAGTCCCAACAAATCGAAGGTCGAATGTTTTCACTAGTATGTGGAAACTAACCCAAAATAAAGGGGAAAGGGGGAAGAGTAGATATTCAGTAGATTAGACAAAGCGGAATAAAGAGAAGGGAGGGAGGGTAAGAAAAGGAATGATAGTGGAATGAATCAGAAATAATTTTCCTGTGTACTTATAAGAATCCTACCATCATGCACTTCCATAAGAATGGGGTCCTACCCAGAATAAGATATATTCCACGCCTGTTTGATTATATCAAAATGAATTCTATTGTCATGTATAACTAAAAAGAATCAATTTTTTTAAAAATGCAGTAGAAAAAAATCATGTCTATTACAATCAGTCAGATATGGTTTTGAAAACTATGGCTTCAGCTCACAGCCTGAATGATCTTGACCATTTTATTTAAGCTCTGAATCTCAGATTTCTAATCTCCAAAGTGAAAATCTTAATGCTGGGAACAATGCAGAATTGTTGAGAGGATAAATGAGGCAATGTATGAAAATCTTATAGTTTAGTGCCTGGATAAATATACTCAAGATCTATTAAATTACTCTTAATAAGTTTCATCGCTTCCTAACAAATAATAGTACTTATTCCACAAAAAGTATTGAGTATTTAAAACAGTAATTGCTCTTTCACTTTTATTCTCCACTAGAGTATCAGAATTTCTCATTTGCTAAAAAAAATTTGAATATGTGATTCTGCAAATATTTATTGAGCAATTATTATGATCAGATACAATGTTCTAGGTGTCTGGGATGCAAAAATAAATAAGACACAGTTTCTGGTCCCAAGTAGCTCATAATTTGACCACAGACATGAATGTATCCATTAACAATGCTATAATTTGTTAACTATTTATTGGATTTTGGATATTTTATTTGTCTCTGAAAGAGCAATCTCAGTAAAAAAAATGAGTAGATAACTAAACTCTGGTTGTGTGAAGAGTTAATGGGCCATAAGAAAGTGGAAATGGTGACTATAGAATATTTCATAAAGAAGTTCAAATCAAAATGGAAGAGAATAGAGAAGGCAGTTGAGCAGAAGGCAGAATTAAGACTTGAGGCACGTTAGTCATTTATTGACCCAACAAGAGTGACTTACTTGAAACAGAGCATGCACATTCCAGAGGCTTGTGGATCCTGAGGTGATTTCCGTGTTGTCAGAACAGGGTTGGAAGATAGGAAATGAAGGTAGGTAAAGAGGTGAATGGACAAAGTAAATTTTAGTTACTGGGTCTGGATACTTAATATTATATCACAGCTAATATCCACATTTCAAGAAAGAGGCATCCTACTTTCTTCATTCTTATTCCATGTCCATCTGTAACATCATTACTATTACTATATGCACGAAGCTTGCAAATGAAACTTTAATGATTAAGACAGATAAGTGACGAAATAAGAATTGAATCAGAAGAAAAAATTTTAAAGGACTTCATATTGATTTCATTTAGACTTTCAAATAAATAAGATTCTTTTTGTTGTTGTTGTTAGGAATGGCAAGCAAAAAAGGAGAAAGTTTGAAGTATATGCATTAGAAGATTGCTGGAAGAGGAATTGAGCAGGTATCACCCGCAGAGTTGCAGAACCTTTGAACATATACTCCAGCCAACCCCATTTCTACTACATCTGGATTCTTGGGGCTCTGGCCTCACAATAAATATTTTAAGGCACTACACTCCCTCCCTAGGTGATTGTGGTTAATATTTGTGAACTAATGTACTGAAACAGACTGAAATCCATTGAAGCCATGGTTGTCAAATAATTTACCCCAAACTAGGAATGAGTCAATTTGTTCCATTTCACATGATTCCAATCACACAAGAGAATTTCTTGAGAAGGTTCCATCTTCCACTAAGCTCTTCACCAGCATTTCCTACTAACTCCCTTTTCCACTCAATTCACAAACCAGAGTTTTGTAGGTTCCAATCCCAGAAATATCCTTTAGTAGAAACACTTCTTTACAGATCATACATATGTTCCTCACCCATAACTCCTTCTATTTTATCTCATGCAACCATAGCCAAAGATATATAATCCCCCAATCTGAAACCCTTATCTTTATGATTTTATAAGAGAAGAAAAGAGTGAATCTGTTTGGGCATGGGATTACTAAAGAAAAAGAAAAAAAAAAAGCCTCAGATGGGACGTAACCCTGGATTTTAAGAAAAATATGTGGTTTTTTCACTTATTCTGTTAGTAAAATATATTTTAAGATAGCTACAATACATTACACATGAAAAATGGGAGGATTAAGGATGTTTGGCAATTTTATAGCTCCCTTTAGAAAAAAATGTTTAAATTATGTGTTTGTAGGCTTAGAATTTTACCAGATGTCCAAACACTATTGTGTTTCTTTTTCATGAGAAATACTTCAGAAATCCACCAAAAGTACACTTGGTCAAACACTTTTTTTTTTAACTGAAATATGTGACTTATAACTGGAATAAAAGATAAATAGGAACTAAGTGTATATCAAAGTGAAGCTAAATAGTTTAAAATTATAGCAACATATATTTAACAATAATAACCAAGATAAACTCTGTTTAGACAGTGATGTCTAGATCTCAAGACTATTAGCAATAGGATAGTTTATCATTGAGTTTTCAATTGAATGTGGTACATTAAGTATATAAAGTTCAGTTAAGTAAAGCAAATTAACTTTTCATTTTTATTAATAAAACAATACTCTGATATTAATTGTTGATTACTCTCTTGTACTGTGCTAAATATTCAACATAAACTATATATTTTTTAAATTCTTCCAACTCTTCTGCCCTTATCTGTACTTCATATATAGGAAAATGGATTCTTAGAAAATAGAGTTTTTTGTTTGAGATTTTAAAATATAGCACGTAGGGCTGGAGGTATAGCTCAGTGGTACAGTTCTTGCCTAGCATGTGCTAAGCCCTGGATTTGACTCTCTCCCCGGCACCACAGAAACACACACACAAAAACTAGTGAGTGACAGTTGTATTTAACCCACACAGTCTGGATTTAGAGCCCAAGCACCATCACTACATGCATTATTTTATTTTAATGTCTGGGAGTAAAGAATAAGAGTTTATGTTTAGAACACACCCACGTCGTGCATAGAAACAAACAAATAAGAAAACAAGAGCATGAAGGTAGCTGTTAACCTCTTGATGAACTCATGGGACCTATTATATGGCCTTTGTTGTACAAGAATTCAGTAAAAACATTCTGAATGTGAGCTATAAAAACACTTTAGGTCCAACTCTGAAGCCAAATGGATTAAAATGAGCCAGTTTACAAAAAGCAGCCTCAGATGTGATGTAGCCCTATTAGGTTTCAGTAAATAAAGAGGTCATAGGAGATAGTTTCCATATGAGCAAAGAGGGTTTGTTTTCTAGATCATGCTGTTAATGCCTTTCTTGGGAGCCTACAGGGCTTTGAAGGAAGAAAATGTATTAAATGCCAAAGTACAAATAAGAAAAAAAAATCCCTCAATTTGAGTATTCATTGCTAGGATCCCTCATATATGTCAAGCATTGTGCTGTGTCTCCGGTTCTTGTGACCTTATTAACCAGTGGGTACAAATTACATAGATTAGAAGATTAAGGTTCCACGTTAATACTACAGGTTGTATTCTATTCTCACCTGCTCCTTCACCACACCAATTATAACTTGTAAGGAACCATGGGGACACTTCTAGGAAGGATGCTCTGGGTAGGATACAAAGGCCAGTAAGAAAACAGTAGATGAAACAGTGACCAGGCAAAGCAAAAAAAAAAAAAAGAGTTAAAAAGAATGACTTGCTCAGACACACAAAAAGTGTAGAAGCACAAACACTGAGAATTGTGGAAAATAAGAAAGTTAGATTAAAGACAAGAACCTGGTTCTCATGGGCCTTTTGTGTTGTTGTATGAGTAGAAATTTGTTCTAATGAGCAATGAGAAGCCACCAAAAGGCTTTAAATTATATGAGTGGCATTATCAGACTTGTATTTTTGGAAAAAAAAATTGCTCTAAAAGTAAGTTTCCATAGGCTTTTAGAGATGGAAGACATTGAAGTGCACTTCCAAGTGACTATATTCCTCCTTCCCCAAAGTGTTAGAAATGCATTGTAATCATTTACAGAACTGATTTTCAGACACTTTTCCTCATGTTCTTTTACAGTGAGAGATTGCAATCATCACAAATTGTTCTCCAAGGCAGAAGTAACAGCTATGGATATTTTTGCCCACCATTTTATGCCGAAGCACTAACACCATCCTGTTAGAACGTGGTCTTCTGTTCCCAGGGCTCTGCCTGAGAATGTGACAGGGAGATATTATATACATAGTCCCCATCTTGCAATGGCTTGAATAAAGATTCTTTGAATAAAGACTTTTTAACTTTATGGTGGTGCAGCATTTTCATTCAATAGAAACTTTTCTTTGAATTTTGATCTTAATCGGAGTTAGCTATATGCAACCTGAGACTCTCTCAATGTTGGGCATGGGCATTAAGCCACAGCTCCCAGCTACTTGTATCATCACAAGGGCAAACAACCAATACTCTGTAGTGTATTATGTTGCTAAGCTTGACTGTTGGTAGATGCATTGTATTAAATACTTTGTCTTATGATGGGAAGATTTTCAACTTATGATGGCTTTCTCAGGAAGTGATTTCATTGTAAATCAGGGGGCCTTTGTACGTGGAAAATTATATGAGGAATGGGGAAGTGGAAGGGAAGGTACCAAATGATATATCCTGATGGTACACTACAGTGTAAAGATTTGAGGAAGGAGAAACTGAAGGAAGGAGATCAACAAGGAATCTGATAAAGAAATTCAGTAAGAAAAAAATGAGGATTTGAACCAAGTCAGTGGAAATGAACATTAAGATGTTGCCAATGAGATGAGAGGACAATGAGAAAGGAAGGAATCTTGGGCTTCTTGTTTGAATATCAAGGGAAACACAGAACACAGCAGGAAGAACAGACTGTGAGAATGAGGGTATTGGAGGAGCTCAAGAGATATCTTTGGACAGTGTAGTTTCATGTGTCTATGGCATAGCCAACTGGAATTATTTGTAGGAAATGAAATGTATGACATTGGAATTTAGGGAAGTGATAGGATATGGCCGAAAAGAAATGCATGCCTCTTTTAATTGATCATCAGGTAATTAAGAAGGAAATGGCTTGTTAAGGATATTTACATTCTTAGGAAATATAAAATCCCTACTATTAGAGCCCGAGCATCATATATGGAATGAGCTAGTAAAGAGGAGACTGGGGAAAATGTCAGGGAAGGAGAATCTTAAGGTGAAGCCAATTTCAGAGAAGATGGGAAGACATCTGTTTTATATCAAGAAACAGGAGGTCATCCAAAAGATCTGCTAAGAACAATACAATTTTTTTTCTTTGATGAGCAAGGAGATCAATTGTCAGTGTAAGATCTATGTCATGCTTTCATTCAATGAACTTCCCAGACTAGTAGTTATAATTCCAAACTTCCCATTTCAAACCTGTTCATTCCAGGAACATAAATAAGAAGTGTGTTAAAAAAGAATGTAAGAGACTAGGGAAGCTTAGTGGCGCACACCTGTAATCCCAGCAGCTCAGCAGGCTAAGGCAGGAGGATGGTGAGTTCAAAGCCAGCCTCAGCAAAAGTAAAGTGCTAAGCAATTCAGTAAGACTCCCTCTCTAAATAAAATAAAAAATAGGGCTGGGAATGTGACTCAGTGTTTGAGTGTCCCTGAATTCAATCCCTGGTACCAAGGCGGGGCAGGGGGGCATTATTGCCTTAAGATTAAATAAATAGCATTAAAGAGATTCCGTGTGTGTGTGTGTGTGTGTGTGTGTGTGTGTGTGTAGACAAAGAAAATATTATATATTAGACAAAGATTATTCAACAAATATCCTAAGAAAATTTACTAGCAGCGTAGAAAAAAAACATTTTTAACTCTTAACCTTATATATTATGTCCACATTAATTCTAGATGATTAGAAACCTTAAATTTCTTTTAAAGTATAGAAATTAGAAAAAAGTGTAAAGGTAAATAAAAGATTGGCTAATTTTAGAATTTTTAAGTATATCCCAAAATCAAAATCAGTGAAAGAAGCCAAAATGAAAAAATACTTTTAAACAAATAACTTTATGAAATGTATATCAAAAAGTCTTAGTTAACATTTTCAAACAAATTTTGAAAAAATAACACATTAGAAAAAAATCTAAGAAATAGTACAAATGGAGTTAAAACGTCATCAATAGAAGAGGATTTGGAGAAGGTGGTGGAATAAGACATCTGAATTATATCACCTTCTAAATTCATACACTGAGGCCCTAAGCCCCAGTGTGATACATTGGAGATATATTTGGATATATAGTTTAGATGAGATCATTATGAGATTAGTATTCTTATTTAAAAAAAATAGACACTAGAGAGCTTGCTCTTTTCCTTCATCACATGAGAGAATAATCTGTGAGCCAGAAAGAGCCCTCAAAAGTGCCTGACTGTACTGGCACCCTTATCTCAAACTTGCAGTCTCCAGACTACAGGAAAATTTGTTTATTAAGTCATACAGTTTAGGCATTTTAGTATAGCAGACCAAGTAGCTAATACAGAAGAAATTTAAAACAGCCCTCTGTGCTGTATTAGTGAAATCATGAATTTGTTTGTCATTGTGCAACATAGGAATACATTTTAAAACAATTTATTGAACACTTTATTTTATATTTTCTTCAAAAAGCAAAGCAGAGTATGTCACCAGGGTATTCTGGAGACCATCCACTCTAAGGAGATTGTTTCCATGTTATATTTATAAAGGTTTTAAAAACCACAAATTGTTATTTTGAAAGATTTTCACTCCTCAACTTTCTAAATTGTACCTGATGTGAAGATAAACAATTACTCCCAGGATTGCTTCAAAAAGAAAAATATTGGAAAGTAGTGAAAACAGCCACTATATTTGGGTTTTCTATTTCTTGATCATTTTAGCATGGTATATGTTAAAATAAAAATATTTCATTTATCTATAGAGCATGTTCAGTAGAAGGCCAAACTATTTTAATCTGAGATTCTTGTGGTGATAGTCTCACTTGTAGTGTGTCACAAAGAATTACTTTAAATAATTCTAATAACTATATTACTTATTTTTAGACATGACAAAATAGATACTTCAAACGAGACTTCATTTGTATGAAAATGTAAAATACATAAGGTATTTACCATTAAATAAAGTCAAGTATAATGTGAGGAGGGAAATGAACATCCATTTTTTTTTTAAGTTTGCAAAGTTGATTCAGAAGAAATTCTTGTCCTTCTAAGAGATGTTTTTGGTAAGAAAACTGGGTTATCACCAAACATTGAAATAATATTATGAAACGGGTTGACACCTCTGATAATTCAGAAAAAGATAAAAATCCCCCCAATATATTCAGCAGTCTGTTGAGATGCTGGATCTTGTTAATGAGAATCCTGGGTTACTCAAGTGTGGCACCCTAGCCTATCAGTGCTCATTCATCTCTTCAACCAATATGTATTTTTTGTATGATTAATAGGTGTTTTGGTACTACTAAGACAGAAGAAGTAGGCTGGGCAAAGTAAAAAAGCCCCAGGTAGCTTAAAAGAAGGCCTTGAAATAGACAGAGGAGACTAGAATTTTATTCCCTACCCTGGTAGAAAACTATTATCTCTTTGGGGGCTGTGTGGTTTGAATGATCATTGTGTAATTGAATTCAAGTGTATTAACTGATTTCTTATTTATAATACTGAAATAAAATAACTGTTTAATAGATAAATATATTCAAAGTACACTGAAAATGCCATTTGCTGATTTTATTTTTTAATGACATTGTTCCCTAAATATTCTGCACTTGGTCTGCTTTATAAAATTTCTCCTAAAAAAAAAAAGGTAATCTCAGATTTACCTCTGAGTCACCCTACCTTTTACATAAAATTTATCCTAAATTTTGGTAGAAGAGGTTTTGAATTATGCATCCTACCCATAAAAATGGATCTCAAAGTCCTCTTTTACTTTTGTATTCTCCCAGCTTCTTTTAGTCCAAGCTGGTATTGTTCTTTTAGAAACCTTCAGAAAGTTTTATATGTCAGTTTGTAATAGAATCCTTTATAATCCACCCAGAAGACTCTTTAAAATAAACTCTTGTTTCTTGCAATCTTTGTAAGCTTGCAGAAGGAACATCATCTCTAAGATTCTCAGATATCCTACTGTGTAGTCATAGAGGTAGGATAGACATGACCTTAAGATCCTTACAGGGGCTTTTGCCTCTGAAAGGATCTGTGAGATGCCCTTTCTAGTTATTTGGGAGTCTTTTCATGAACTTCATCTTTTTTTATTTAATTATTTATTTATTCTAATTTGTTATACATGATGGCAGAATGCAATTCATTTCATATTACACATACAGAGCACAATTTTTCAAGTCATTGATTGTACACAAAGTATTTTCACACCATTCGTGTCTTCATACATGTGTTTCAGGTAATGATGTCTAACTCATTCCACCATCATTCCTACTATCTTCTTCCCTCCATTTCCCTTTCTCCCCTTTGCCTTATGTAAAGTTCCTCCATTTCTCCCATGCTCCCCCCACATCGCCATTATGAGTTTCATGTCAAATAAATCAAAGTCTCATATCAAAGAAATCATTAGGCTTTTGGTTTGGGGGATTGGCTTGCTTCACTTTGCATTATGTTTTTTAACTTCATCCATTTATTGGCAAATGCCATTATTTTATTCTCTGTCAATGTTGAGTAATGTTTAATTGTGTGTATATAAACCAATGTTTTCGTATCCATTAATCTACTGAAGGGCATCTAGGTTGATTCCAGAGCTATTGTGAATTGTGCTGCTATAAATATTGATGTGGCTGTGTCCCTGTAGTATTTTGTTTTTAAGTCCTTTGGCTATAAACCAAGGAGTGGGATAGCTGGGTTGAATGGTGCACATAAACTTAATCTTTAAACTATGTTTTCCTTCACTATTTGAATTTGATCTTTGTCCAAAGCCATTTCTTAATTTTAGAATCATTTGCTCTCAGAGAAAAAACCTGAAAAAATTAAAAGTTTTTAATAAGACTTGGCATCTTTAGATTAAATGGCTTATTTCTTCTTTTTTTTCTACAACATAATTATTGTAGACAGCAAGAAGACAGATGATATTTTTCAATACTCCTCCTGTTACTATGATAGTCTCCTTTATAATGTTAATTTGAATAAGTATGATTCATTTTTTTATAATGATCTTTTTGAAAGCACAAAATTTTGATGTTGTTGAATAAGCCTACTTTGTTTTGATTTTCTAACATTAATAACCATTTTACTTTTAATTTATCTTGAACTATATTTTTAACTAATTTATCTTGAACTATATTTTTAACTAAATGCTCCGAG